TTGCAGCAGCTTTTCCATGACATCTCTATTACTGTGTGCAAGGTGCAATGCCGACAGCCCGTCAATCGTCCTTTTATTTATGTCAGCTCCGTGGTCGATGAGCAATCCCACGAGGTCCGGATGGCCCTTCTGGGCTGCCGCGTGGACCGCATCGCGGCATTGGCCGCCCTGGGTGTTGACGTCTGCGCCCATCTCGATCAGCAGCTGAACCACAGCCTCGTTGCCGTTTTCTGCCGCCGCTTGAAGCGCGTTGCCGTATAGGCTGCCCTGGGTGTTGACGTCGGCGCCGACCTCCCCAAGATCTTCGACAAATGCGACGAGTCCAAGAGAAGCTGCGATATGTAGCGGTGTCGTTTTAAAAAACGGGGTGCCCTGGGAGAAACTTCATATCTGGTAGGCGAGATCAATTTTCCCCGGAGACTCTGCTAGTTTCCGAAAAATACCATTCATTGTCTTTTGTACATTGCTCTCCTGGTTTGTCTGTCTTATATGATTTGGCCAATGAGCTGCGGAATAGGTCATAAAGGGGATTTTTTGTAGTCGGCTTTTCATTCTCTGCTCCGCGCCGCGGTCCAACGCCCAGGTTCCAACTACAGGACCATCATCACATTCTTCAAAAGATAGATACGTCAAGCAGGACATGGCAAGTTGCAGATGGCATTCCGCAGGTGAGAGGCGAAACTCGGGTTGGAAATTACCCTTAATGAGGAAGTCTTTCCCTCACTGATGTACAAGATGGACGATACCATCAGGTCCATCACCTTCTAGTTTCAGCATCGGTCCAAAAAGTGACATAAGAAGCTTCCTCAGATCGGTTTCCATGTCATCCTCAATTGTGGGCATGGAGGTCTTTCCAGGCTGTTTAGCGATAGCTATTGCCAACTCTTCCAGATTCAAGGGAAGCATCGCCCAAGTCACCCATTGCAGTATTTTGTTAGCCCTCTTTTAATCTTTCGGTTGTATCTTGCGCAAGATCTTTTTGTACACGGCTGGAAGATCCTGAGGCAAAGCCTTTGGCCTCTCCTTGATGGATTGATGCGTTGTAGTTGTGGCCATTTCGAAATCTTCCAAGATCAGGGAAACCCAGGGAAACATCCCGTCAGCACGACCTATGAGATCCCTTTGTACTTCATCAGCCACATCAGCCTGGGGAAACAGTTCTTGAACTCGGGCTTCGACGAATGAGGTTATATCGTTGTTTAAGTCTCCAGCCTTGAGATGTATTCGTATGAGATCAGTAAAGTGCGATTGAACTGGTACGTGCGGTCGACTGGTAATAGCAATCTTGATACGCCGTTTGACAGTGGGGTTGCATAACAGACGCTGTAGCTGGTTCAAGAGCTCTGCGCGTGATTCATCACATTCATCTAGGATAGTGAGCTACAGACATTTTTGTGTTTGATGAAGGTTGAATACCAAGCGCATCGATGAGAAGATACACGCGCCCAGCGTTGGCGTCGGTTATAACTCGCTTGAAGACTTGCGAGAGCATACTGTAATTCCAGGAGGGTCTCTCGCTGTACTTTTTTTTTAACACCGCTGAGAAGTGATCAAGAACCCCCGGCAGCTGCTCCAACAGCTGGTCAAGCAAGTCCACTAGTATTGCATCGGCGGTCCTTAATCGCTCGTCCTTATCGTGACGAAAGAAATAAGCGACCAGAAGCTGGCTTTCTTGGTACATGTTAGGAAAGATTTCTTTGCACAGAAATGAGGACAAGACGCTCTTGCCGCAACCTGGGTCTCAAGAGATCCACAGAATTGGCTGGTGATTTTCCTCGGCCCAGGCCTTGTAACGCTTGTCGTGAAGGAGCCATTTGCAATAATTTCCATGTCGTTTACGCCAGAGTTCATCGCGGTAACCTTCATAATCCGAGGGTTTCAAACTTTTCCGGCAGTCGATGTATTTCTGAGAACCTAGTTTCCACCTGTTAGTTAAGGGAGCACTACAATCATTGAAACTCGGTAATAAAGCAGTTGTGGCGAAATTGTTTCACAACTAAGGTAAAGTTATTACACCACTTGCTTTATTACCGAGATTATGCGGCGCATGCAAAGATATCCAGCGTAGCACGTACATCGAAGCTCTTCATTTTCACTCTTTGTTACCGCTGAACAGTGGGCATCAGTATTGCTTTAATTCGAGCTATCTGCTAAAACAGGACGATATTATATTCCGGCTACATACCCAACCACTCAGTCATATTTCTGACGACAGTCAAAAACTTTCCTTCCGCGTTGGCGAAATATACCATATCTGTATGGTTGGAATTGATTGGAACGGACTCTTCCTGCCTTACGCGAACCACGGCTGAGAATCGCATCACTTTCGGGACTTTGGGGCCCCCTCTCTTAGCCGTACCTCCAGTCTGAATTGACGTCAGCATCAAATCACGACCAACTTATCTTCGGGGTACACGGACGCTTACGACTGTTTCTGTCTTCTCGGTTTCATAGAAACTGCAAATTTTACCGGTGAACTGTTGCCACATTGGAATACAGTCCTCTGTCTGATTTCCCAAAAACTCCGAGTCGTTGTTTAACTGATCGAGCAGCTGTGGAAGCTTGTAGTTATCCTTCGCCTGCATGGCCATCATTTCCTGGAGATCGTCGACATTGAACCCTTGGTGCGGTGTTCCGAAGAAGAAGATTCCTCGCACGGAGTCATAGATACGACGGTCGGATGGGTTACGGCCAGATTGAAGAAATTATTGGAGCATAGTCTGTTGTATTAGACGTCAGCTACTGGTGATGTAAATATTCTAGGTCTTATAGATTTTTGGTGTACCTGAGTAACCAAGACACCTCCTAGACTATGGCCGATGAAGTTGATTGGGCGTGTCTGGAGAGGATGGTCAGGATCTCAACCCGAACCGCATAGTTATCTCATTTAACTGCATACCGGACAATCAACTCGAGCATACGAAGAAACCATAGATTGCTGCTCGATAATGGGGCCGACGAAAATCATCGGGATCAATTTGGCAGAACAGCTCAGGATGTTGCAGTTGGAAGAAGAGCAGTGAGGGAATTGTTGTCGGCTGAACCGATCCCAAGGTGCCAGGAGAAGACAAACATTGCCAGAAGGGTTTACTGTGAAGTCTGTCAAAATAGTGTCATGGACGATTTTCATTACCGTAAGTCGCATCCTTTAATTCTACCCATCGCTTCATCTCCACGCAACTATATTGATCATGATCTTTTAATGATTTTTACGAGCAAGATTAAAACCACGATAGATTGCTGCGATTGTAGTATATATAGCGATGATTACGACATATGCAGCTCCTGTTTTTCAGGAGGCAAACGATGTAAAAATAGCGACTATCAGTTAAAGCAGCGATTTATAGGTGGTGGAATGGTATCATTCATGGAGTTGTCGTCATGGGTTAAAGAGATGAAATTGCCGAATTCGAAAATCATTGTGGGTTTCGAAGACTCGGTAGAAGTAGGTTTAGCGGGGAAGTTGGAGGACAATGATTCGAGATGGGATTAGCCTGTGGTCAATGAGGTAATATATATGGGTGTGTTGTTTCATCGTCTCCAGACGTGTATTTGTATAAGGAATGTGTTTGAAATTTTCAAATTTGCGCTCGCTGTATTATGAAAGCTCAGCATCGAATAATCTCTTAATTCCCACATAAACCTCACCGCTCTAATGTGTATCTGAGATACCTTTGGTTCGGGTTTCACATCAATACTACACAACCCCGCAATGTTACACCTGTGGAAACAGCCATTTTAGATAGAAGAGTGACAGTAGAGGCATCCTGCCCCGGGGTCGGACAATGCTACTAGTAACAGATACAGCGTGATCCGTCAGTTTTGCCTTTCTCTGGGATTGTTGAACTTCATCTATGTACGAGGGAATGCGAATCGAGGTAGACGCTGGCACTCGGGCTGGTGCAGGTGTGAATCGTCTTTCGATAATCTGAATGTAGGGAGTGCTATTACAAGTACTCTGTCGGTGGCTTAGCCTCGATGAAAATGATGTCTCGGAGATATTAGGGACAGATCGGCCTACATTAGGCTGCTGCGGTGAAGGCGACAGGCTTCCGGACTCAGCAGCACTATATGTTGCTTCTGTATGCTTACAGGCAGCATATCGGGTGTGTCTCTCTGCAGGAAAACAATTCCTCGTAGCCGCAATATTTGACACAGAAACCGCCACCAGCACTTGGCTGTCTGGAGTTGTTAGCCGGCGTCTGAGTCATTTTTCGAGTCCGAATCGTCACTAGAATACCAGTAAAGAGAGTTTTCAGGCTTAAGTTTTCTATTCATTGTATGGTTCCGATTTGTGGTAACCGCTTTCCAATTTAGGGCTGTTTTCACGGTCACTTCTATTAATCATGGAATTTTTTGTTTGAATTGTGTAATGGGCAAGGGCCACTGGCACATGTGATATGTCACAAAAGTTTGTTGCCAAATTCTTTTTTTACGCATGTTGTACTATATACAAATGGCGTTTCGTAGTTGTGGCATTACATTTGCAGTGGTGGGTTCCTTGTACTTGTACTTGGCGAGGCTAGATATTAAACTTTAAACTCGACTCTAATTACTTAGCAAAGATAAACGGATACTGGTTTACGATATGCAAAGATTTTGGGAGATGCGTGTTTACATTGTGATACAATCAAGGATACAATCTGTCTGTCTCCTTCTCCCATTCCTAGCGACCCTGTAACACGCACTCCTTCCCATATCCTCCATCCTCCATGCCAATTCACCCTTCAAAGTTGGAGACAACCTTAACACGCACCCTCCTTCCTCCGACATGTACACCTTCCATGCTCCATCTTCTACTTCTCACGCTGGCGAAAACCCTGGTTCGTCATTCCGTGCTTCTACCCGTGACATCCTGCAAAACCCTAAGTGCGTCCCCATCAACCGAGTGATACTGCGTGATAATTTCCTCCCAGCGCAGGGACGGTTACACATGTCCTCTATCTAAGCGCCCGGGTCTCCCAGGATAAATACCATTCAAGTCACACCAAATAACAGATTCCTCGGTAGTATAGTGGTTAGTATTTCCGCCTGTCATGCAGAGCATTTACATCCAAATGTCGATCACGCGCCTTGTCGCTGGCCGATCACTGGACGTTCTTGCAAGACGAAATCGCGGGAGACCGGGGTTCAATTCCCCGCCGAGGAGTATTTTTTTGGATTTTTATTGCGCGCATCTGGTAGATATGTATAATAGCGCCAGAAGCCTTTTAGAACGACACCAACTTGAGAGCGTACGCACGGCGAATATCGAACATGTGACATCTTTTCTGGCTTGGCTCGCTGCGAGCAGGCAGGGAAGTTTTGGCCGGGAATACTGCGCGTGCTCTTGGCATGCATGAGCGGCCGCTCCCGCGCACAAGAGCCCGACTTTGGTTCGTTGAGCTTCATTTCCTCTACGTTTGATTCTCCACTTCTTTTCTTCTTCTTTTGAATATGACCATTTCTACTTTTGTTCTCGACTATGGTGTCAAATCTCAGTTCTGTCAATCCTGTAGCTAAACCGCATCTGGACAGCAATGTTTGAGGAGGAAACACACGCGCTTGTTCCCACCGCTAAACCGCATCGGGAAACGACAGGCGCGATCCCATGAACTCAATCCCGGCGTGAATCCGTGGACCCCGGCAGGAACGGACTGATTTCTGCCGGGGTTTGGTGGGTGATTCTTGCCGGGGTCGTGCGATTCCTTCCGGTATGGAAGATTCACGCCGGGATTGACCAGCAGGAACCACGCCGGGATGTGGAGGCGGAGCATCAGCAGGATTCACGCCGGAATAGGAACGGAGTATTAAGCTGTATTCAAATTTGTATTGGACTGAATCACGCCGGCATTGGGAGAGATTCACGCCGGTATTGGGAGGGATTCTTGCCTATACTATTGTCATCATCCAAAGATGATATTGGTCGAGTTATCCTTCTCCCTATTTCCTGTTATACATAGTTATTTTATATCTGTGTGCGTAAAAATAGAAAACTGTACGAGAGGAAGAGCAACAAGCGGACAATGCAACAGAATCCCAATCATGGTATGAGATAACTATTGGCGGCTGCTGCGCATAACTCTACTGAATCATGTTGTAAACTTAACCCCGAACAAAAGCCGAACACGGCATTCCCGGCAATAAAAATAGGGTGAAATTATGCCGTAACTACGAAGTCACTGCAAGATTCAAAGCGTGTCACTTTAGAAAAGACGGAGTAGTGCGCGTACAACAACATCTAAACTAATAACAAACAAACAGGTCATACGGAGTGTGTGCGGACTACCCAGTGGCTTAGAGAACGGGTAGTACAGAGAGAGGAACTGTTGATACGTACCGGATCCCGAGTAGAATACCACTGAACACCGGGACACGCGAACAACGAAGGTAACAAACAGGCATGCTGAGTTGCGAAAGAGACCGCAGCCCACCCAGCCCGTGGATCCATATCGCGCCTACCGAAGACGGAGAGGTTCACTTCCCTTGCCCACCTCAACCGGATAACGAAGGGACGGAAAACCGAAGAGCGTCAGAAATGGTTGCAAACCACGTACCGGGAACGGAGGGACTACGTCTTTCCTCAAACGAAATCAGACCGTGTAGTCGCGAAAGCCCCGAAGCACCTGGCGATGCGGTACTCTCAACTTAAGACCGGCCACGTAATAGCGACGCATCCTGAGCGGATAGACGCGCGAGACGACGATCGGTGCTGGTGGTGCCAGTCTGGAGCACGCCAAACTTTCCGTCACTGACTTCAAGAATGCCGACGATGGAGGGCTGAACGCGAGACGCTGCGCAAACAAGTCAGCCGGTTTCACATGGATGGCCGCACAATAGACACCGTGCCGTTTCTGCCTCCTTTCTTTTGATTGATTCGAGGTTTACCTTCCTTCTTCGTTTATTTCGTGTGCTTCTTTGCTGACCGAAGGATGCCCTCTTACTTTCAGCCGGACCGCCTTAAGTGCATCGGGAACGGGACCGGCAGGGTGGTGGCAAGCTAATCATTTTTTACACGGACACGGATTGGATGGAAAGCGGGGCTTGAGACCTTGGCAGAAGGAGACTCGAATTTGGTTGAAGTAATAGTATATCTTAAATGACATAATTTGCTTGCTGCAAAGAAAAGCAAGGCACGGAGCCTGAAAATAGAAAAGAAAAGAGAGCGCTGCTCCAAGAAAAGAAGAAGGACAGCTCACGGCTTGATCCTAGTTTGTTGGGTTTGCCTGGACCCTTGGTCCTGGCCCTCGATGTCAGGTGAGCTCCGAAGAGGAGGCTAGCCACCGAATCATTGCTGAGCACTCGTATCCGCTTTTCTCGCTTTTCATCGTTACCGACGAAAATGGAGAAAAGGGACGAATCATCGCTGAGCACTCGAAACGGAAGAAGCGGTGTGCGAGAGCCAACAACCAAGTCCCCCTTACCTCGCCTCGCCCGTAGCCAGAGCCACTTGGGATACAGGGGTTAACTCGAAGAGATCCCCCTCGCATTCAGTGGGGCATCAAGATAATGAGATGAAAGGAGAATTAGAGAATAAGGAGAGGAATAAGAAAAGAAAAGGCCACGTCGCCGTTAAAAAAAACCCCCAATGGGAAGAAAGTAGAGCATGGTTCACAAAAAACTGAATAAAAGGGAAAGAGTTAGAGAAGGACAGGTAAAGAAACAGTGACGACAAGTGAACTTGGCATCAGGGACGGAGGGTGGGAAAAGCGAAGAAGGTGGAGACACAACTAGGCGTTTGACGTTCGGATGAGGATCCAATGGTTGAAAAAGGAGAGCGTCTTATATAAGGCGATCAGGCTTTCAAATCAGGTTGAATCCGGGCGTTCGTTCAAATTCATCTCCAAAGCACGAGGCACGCTGTGCCTACAGATCCATGCCGTTTCTGTCTCCCTGGTGCTTTTCTTCAACAAAAACTGTTAACTTTTTGTCCTTCGCTTGTCTAACTGGAGCTTTCCTTTTTGCTCTCTCTTGTTTGGTTCCTTCTTTGGTTCGTTTGAACGATTCATTACTTCCTTTCTTTCTACTATCAGACCGCAGGGTAGCAGGTGTCTTCGAACACCGTGCGATAGATACTGACGGACATTTCTTTTGGTCCCCGCTATCAGCCCGCCAATTACTACCCGCTGACAGCCCCAACCACTAAGCCGACCGTGAATCCCTCCTGCTCGGCAAGCCGAGCCATGTATGTTCTTCGCCGCGGCAGCTAGAAGCCTGGCAACGGGAAATGCTGGAGAGCTACCCCGCAGTAATTAAAAACAAACAAAAACAAACAAAACAGCCCCCCAACTAAGTAGACTGTGAATCCCTTTTCTCGATTTAGAATCTATATCTAGACGAATCTTCTCTTCTACCGAACTGCCTTAAGCAGCTCTGGGACTTAAAGGGCAACGGTAAATCAAATTACCCCGGGAAAAGCTAGCATGCTACTCCGGCTAATTAAAACAAACAAACAAACACGCTATCACCGGAACGAAATGTAGAAATGTAGCTAGTCAGTTTCTAAATAATTTTAGCTTCCTTACAAGTCAGAAAGCACGTCATTTGGTTAAGATTTGTAAAAGTTAAGGTGCGGTTGTATTTTGACTTCCGGTAGTAACTGTCACGGCTTGGCGCGCGGCTGCGATTATGTTTTCCTATACAGCTGTATAGGAAATCGTGATTGGCTGAGTTTCAGACGGTGGTGTTCTTGGGCACGCGCGCCCGCGAAAATAGTTAACTTGGATCGTTCGGCGTGCGCGCAGCGAGTAGTCAACTTGAATCAGGTAGTTCCGCAACAAAAGCACGCCTCAGCTAGTGCAGAATGCTTTGATATGACAGTTTCTTTCCACTTATTTTATGTTTGAGTTGGATTTTACCCAGCGACATGTGTTAACATGATTCCAGACGAGAATAGCGATTGAATTGATGTGACTTTAAGGTTTTCAGCTAGAGTAGCCTTAGCTGCATAGCGAAAATGATGTCCCCGAGGCCAATTTACCCCTGCATGATAAGCAGCCGCTAGAGCATTCCCGAACACTCCACTTCCAGCTGCCCATTTCTCAAAGATTTGTATCTCCACTAAACTGTGCGAGTGCATCAAACCATTTACAAAGAAAACCGCATGAAACAGGTTTGTCTATGACCACCTCGATCAAAATTGCCCAGCATCCAGCTACCCAAACAAAATCCTACCATGCAATACTTCCGAGAAGACTCTTCGGCCGCTTCCTTACCAGCCACTTCCTCCCCTCATCCAGCAACAGCCAACCCATTCCAAACGCCATCGGCAGGAACCAATGCTCTACCGGGACGGGTGTCGTGCCCAGCACCTGCTGAATCCTCGGCAGATACAGGAAGAAGATCGCAAACACCAAGGCTAGGATAATGGCTAGGAAAAGATACGCGTTGCGAGTCTGCGAATTGAAGAGTGGCGGATGCTGAAAGATAGAGAGGCGCCGTGTACGGACGGACATGAGATTGAACCATTGCGTAACCACCAGCGTGACAAAGTAGACGGAGCTAGCCTCGTTCAGTATTTGCGCGTACCGCTCGGCCGAAATGTCCGACGGCACGTTGCCGAAGCCGAACCAGAGGGCGCTGAATGGAATGCCTTTTCTCTGCGCGTACCAGTACGCCATCGAGAAACTGCACACCGACTCCAGCACCCCCACAAAGCCGTACGCATGCAAAATCAGCTTCCAGTCAACCAGATGATCACGCTTGGTGTCACGAGGAGGGCGCAGAAGAACGTCAGCTTCTGGCTGCTCGTACGCAATGGCAGTCGCGGCCGCACAGTCGGTGAAGCAGCAAATAACTATCATGAGGAAGGAACTCAAGATCTGCGGTAGCCCGAGCAGGACATTTGTCATGACGGGCCAAAGCTCCGAGAACGATCCCGCAGGCAACAAATAGGAGACCGTCTTCTTGAGATTGTCAAAGACGACGCGGCCATACTTGACCGCTTCGACAATGGCGGAGAAGGAGTCGAGGAGGACCATGTCAGCAGCTTCGATGGCGACGTCAGAGCCGGAGCCCAGAGAGATGCCGACATCGGCGGCTTTGAGTGAAGGCGCATCGTTGACGCCGTCGCCGGTCATGCCGACAGTTTCGCCGCGGTATTGGAGCTCTTTGACGATGCGCAGTTTTTGCTCGGGTGTCGTCCGCGCAAAGACGATCTCGTCATAGGTG